TATCACTAAGTCATATTCTGTGTCTATATATCACCACATTTTGTCATTTGGTGGCACACTCCGGAAACAGTCGACCGTTTCAGAATAGGTGGGCGTGGCTACAACACAAGAAATATCCCAAATTTACTTGGACACAAGTAATCATTTTCAGCAAAAAAATCAATTTCAGTGGGACACAGGTCTAAAATGGGAAACGTGAGGGTTGGCATTGCACAGGCACTTTAAAGGGTGACAGTCGTCGTGTCGCATCCTGCTCGATATGGGACTCATAGCAACGTATACAACGCATGTAAAATACATTGTTTATTTACATGAAATTCAAACACGCGCTGCGCGACGACCACTGCGCTTTAAACAGCTATATTTTCATTAGTATCATTATCATGATTTAAGAATGTTCTGGGTTTTCATACAGAAGAAATTCATTGCGACTTTAATATCGTCTTTAAAGATTCAAAATAAAATCTTCACAGCTACAAATTCTGCATTCTTCCCTGACTAGCGTAATTTGTAAAAAAATTTCTCTCGTGCAATGGAAAGTGATTTATATTGTTCATATGCCTCAATTATTAATGCAAATAAAATCTAATGCTGTTCATGTTTTGAATACAGTATTTGTTCCATTAAAAGCAAAAATTTAATTTATTTAATAGATCATTAAAATATGTCAGTTCAGATTTCTATAGGGAGGCAACAAACGAAAGGCACTGAAAATCCATTTTGTTAGAACTAAACATTTTTTTTATTTTTATTACCAGTGTCCAAAAATTAATGTTAATGTAAATGACAGAGGTGCATCTCTCGTTGAAATATTTCATATTTTAATGGTAAAGTATACAATAAATGCTATTGGATGAAAAATTCTTATGAAGTTCTTGAGAATTTAAACATCTTACAGCTGTAGAGGGCAGCACAACACATCATGAGATTTAGATACAACTTCTTAAATTTAGAAGAAAAAAATAGCTACATTGATCCAAAAGTGACATAAATTAGAGACGGTTGAGAAAAAAACAAAATGTGAAAAGTCTTTATTATATTAAATACTGAAAATAAAAATGAGATACTAATAGTTTTATTCTTTTAAATTGTTCAAACATAATGCTCTGCAGTGGACCTGTAATTACCGTTAGTAACATCAGTGTTCGTTGGTAGTAAGTTACTATCAGTTTCATTGTCAATGGTTCGCATTCCGATCACGGATTCATAGTTTGGAGGTGGTGAATCTGGGACTGGTTGATCCATGGTTGGTGCAGTTGGGGATTCACTAGCATGAGTGTTACCCATCGAACCATGCTGATCTCTTTCAGGGGTTGGTGCATGTTCAGGATATGTGGCTTGTGATACGTCCATGTAAGATGGCGGTAAATCGTCATATTGATACCCTGAATTAGGACTTGCAGCTAATGGAAATGGAGCGGTGGGCTGTTGCATACCATGCAGTTCTGAGGTCTGTTCTGAATCGTGCTGTCCAGCAAGCTGATCTGAACTATGACCCGGAGTAATCTGCATCAAAATATCTCCACTATCACTGGCATTGTGATTAGAACGCTGTAAACTTGCATTGCTTAAATTATTTTCATTTGATAGCCATGTCCCAGGTTCATGGCTAAGATCTACACCTTCAAAAGTAGTATCTGCAATAAAGTTAAAACAAAGAGATACATATCATTAACAACGCAATGATTTTGACATACGTAAATTATTTGCATGTTATGAGGTTATTACGAGGATACTGCAAAGTATGCACTCAGATAGTATGTGGTCACATCGACTTCTGCGTATGGAAATGTTGAAATCCAAAATGTTTAGAACAGATTTAGCGAACTTCTTTGTGCGGAGTCCGGTCAAACCTGGGGTAGCCATGTTTTTTTGTTTTTATTATTAGAGGACGCTAACATGCGTAATCATTTGATATTTTGAATTCACGTTTCCTAATATGGTAGGATGAAAATACCAAGTGCAATACTGCAAAATTACGGCACACTGTAACTTAAGGCATTACGTTGACAGATGTATAATAATTAATACAAATTCAAGAATTTGAGTACCTCTATGTGTTTGTTCAGATTTTCTCCTGCATCCACTGTCCCATGTATTAAAAACCTTACAAAGTATAACTATGACACACACCAGTACAACTACACTAGTTAGACTGTACACTGTTATTAATGTTGCCATCTTGTCTCTTTTTAGTTTTGCGATGTTAACAATTTGTATGCGGTCTCGACAATATTCTCCTTGGTAGCCTTCATCACAAACACACCAGAGATCCTCAGAGGTATAATAACAGGCGCCATGGTCACCGCAATAATTTCTATGGCAAACTAAAATGAAAAGAAAATGAAAATATATGATGGCCGCATTCTGTTTAAGTCTACAGACAAAAATGTACTTTCTATATTTCAATATTACTTGCAATTAATTTGTTTAATATTTTAAATTGCATCAAATTAAAAAAATGTAAAAAATACTAATTACTTCTATAGTCATTGGTTGTTTGTGGAATGGAAGTGATTACATCATCATCATCATTATCATTACATGACGATTCAAACCAGTAACAATATTCACACTTTCTGCCGTAGTATCCATAGTAACACCTGCAAACATAGGTACCATTTGATTCATCATAATGGCAATAACCTTGGCGATTTGTGCAATCACTGTCTGTGATACATGCATCATTGTCTGAAAGTGAAAATAATAATAATAATACATGTAATAATATAAGTCATGAAATATGCTTGTTTACAGCTTATATGATTGTGATCATTATGGTTGTACACAATTAAATCTAATTAAGGAACTATATGAAATACAAGTGAAATATACCGGTACTTACTTTTATAGTCATTGGTGATTGGTTCCGAAATGGATGTGCCTTTATTTTCACACTTCCTGCCGTAGTATCCATAGTAACACTTGCAAACATAGGCTTTTTTCAATGCGTCATAATGGCAGTAGCCTTGGCGGTTTGAGCAGTCGTAGTCAGTGGCACATACATCATACTCTAAAAGCGGTAACAGTAAATTAAGGTATAAATTTAATGTATAACACCTGTTCGCAGCTTTTTCGTAACATATTTGAAATGACTGACTTGTACAGTTCAGATGTTGCTGTTTATATTGGGTGTATTCTATTACATTACTGTGTAGGTAATTTTCCCGTTCATTGTGAGATCTTGTGTATTGGGTCATAGATGAACTGAATGTCTCAAATAATTTGATTTTGTACTTGAATATATTTTTTATTAGATCAATGAAAGGAACATGGCACTGAGATATCCTTATTTCATCAAAATTAATTTGTATCGCATACTATATATTAATAAGCCTGAAAACACTCAAAACTATTTTCGCATTTGTCGAATCCTATGCAATGTTTTGATGCCACTACAATGCTATGACGTTTGTTTGTCCTGTTATTATGTTCGATTTCACAAATAACACAGGATTTTGCAGTGAACAGAAACGATATTCAAATATGTGGTTTACCTTGACCAGTTGCAGAATATTGTGTTTCTAAGACAGCTATGTATATTAATATGGCTGCTACATGTACCATGTTGAATAATTCTGGTGACTCTTAGTCTTGATAGTCTACTGTAACTCGGTCTCTGTAAATACACAATATTGAAATTATTTGGAATGCAAGCAAATACAATTTTATGATTTTGAGAATTTAAAGAAAGTCGCAGAGTTATTTCTGATGTATTTCAATGTCCCATTTCCCTATAAGCTACTGCCATCACTGCAACTGCCCGGGTGGAATATGACTAACATGCTATGGGATTGCCAAATGATATCAGTTTGTCAGAGAGCTGTTTGATACGAGTGAAGTACATGGACTAGCATTATCCATGAACCGAGTATCACTCAGCTCTATGAATAAATAACATCAGGTCTTTTGATCACACGACTAACTCCAAGTGTCACAATGCCAGAAAAATTTGATTTAACGAAAACGTTCATATGAATCAAATACCCATTGATGCACTGACATCTAAGTGGTGATAGTGTTTTTTTTTTAAATAAACCTTCAGTCACTATTACAAGTGTATGATGAGTTATTGTTATTACACCATGCATGTCAGGGAACAGGGACGCAGCGCCCTCATGCCATGGCCATCCACCCCTTAGCCTGGCGAGCATAAAATTCTGATTGACCAGGGATCACATGTGGCCACAGTCTTCAACTGTGACCTGTCTGATAGTAATTTTGGCCCCAAGGAAGCCATAGAATGCTTCATTTTAACTTAGAATTATCAAAAATTCCCCACCCTGGTAGGGAGAACCCTATTTCCCCCACTTGGTGGTGCCACAAAATTGCAGTGCTCCCTCTTGCAGTTTTTTTTCTAGAAAAACCCCTGCATGTGACTGCTGTTACACATACAGGCAAACAATGATTTCCTTCCCATACTGATTATGAGCTCTAACTATGCTGACATGTATATCACTATGTTTAGTGTGAAACTGACTTTACATGTACATGTCAATCATTTCATAAGAATGCCTATGCATGCAACTTGAAAAAATATACGATTTAATAACGCTTCATTTTAAACCACTTGAAGGAGTGAAACAACTATGGTAGTACATCGCTTTACATGGCATATTAAGTTTTACTTTTTACAACGGAAGCATGTATTATTGCACCAGTCAGTCATGTCCCAGTTCCAGGCAGTGTGACAAGAGGGTACATGTATTTATACAACAACCTGTGGGACAATAGTGACTGGATCAACCATCTACCCCGTTATCCACTGTCAACATCTACTGATCTAATAAGGGGATATGCCTCCTGGCTTTCTTGCTTTCAATGAGATCTAGATGTTCATTTGTTTCTATGATCTATTATGTATCTTGGGTTGTTAACAATAAATCCTATTCTCACATGGTTTTGGTAATCTTGTTGAGTCAAAAAGCCATGCAACTTCCCCCAGACCCCCCCCCCCCCTCTAAAGTGTTAGTGTTTCATTCCCTACCCTCATCATGTTCTGCTGATCTGCTGAGCATTTTAAACAGTAGACGTGATACGGTAAGGAATGGAAGACTGGTATTTGGAAGACAAAAACAAGTCACGTAGCTCTCTCAGGAGATCTTGACGATCACTATGAGTTCTATTTTCTAGTACTTAGTCTCCTGAACTCAAAGAAAACTAGGGAAAATGGGTACTGGTCTCATTAGCCTATTATAGTTGGTATTAGCCAATGGGCTCTTTTCTCAGTGTTCTGAAGAACTCTAATTATAGGTACATATTATAGCTAATAAAATAGAA